GAACCACTAGGTAAAATTAAAGTCTTACAGACGAGGAGCCCCTATACAAATTCAAAGTCCTACAGGCGAAGAGCCCCTAGGCAAATTCAAAGTCCTATAGGCGAGGAGCCCCTAGGCAAATTCAAGTCCTACTGGTAAGGAACCACTAGGCAAATCCAAAGTCCTACAGGCGAAGAGCCCCTAGGCAAATTCAAAGTCCTACAGACGAGGAGCCCCTAGGCAAATTCAAAGTCCTACAAGCGAGGAGCCTCTAGGCAAATTCAAGTCCTACTGGTGAGGAACCACTAGGAAAATCCAAAGTCCTACAGGCGAGAAGCTCCTAGGCAAATTCAAAGTCCTACAGACGAGGAGCCCCTAGGAAAATTCAAGTCCTACAGGCGAGGAGCCCCTAGGAAAATTCAAAGTCTTACAGGCGAGGAGCCCCTAGGCAAATTCAAAGTCCTACTAGTGAGGAACCACTAGGCAAATTCAAGTTCTACTGGTGAAGAACCACTAGGCAAATCCAAAGTCCTACAGACGAGGAGCCCCTAGGCAAATTCAAAGTCCTACAGGCGAGGAGCCCCTAGGTAAATCTAAAGTCCTACAGGCGAGGAGACCTTAGGCAAATTCAAAGTCCTACATTCGATGAGCCCCTAGGCAAATTCAAAGTCCTACGGGCGAGGAACCTCTAGGCAAATTCAAGTCCTACTGGTAAGGAACCACTAGGTAAATCCAAAGTCCTACAGGCGAGGAGCCCCTAGGCAAATTCAAGTCCTACTGGTGAGGAACCACTAGGCAAATTTCCAAATCCTCAAGCGAAGAGCCTCAGTTGTTCATGGTTCGTGGGTTTATCCTTAAACCACGAAATCAGAATAACCATCATAATCATCACCACTATCAGTTCATGCCCTTGGATAAGCAATAAAGAGACGCTCACAAACAGGTAAGTTTCTCTCCCTCAATCATTAAGAACCTTTCAAAATACGTCTTGAAAAGAAAACCTTTGGATTAGATCATGAATTTTAAAAGCAAGATCCTTAATCAGTTATTGTGAAATTTTCCATCTTATCTTGTTCAGTGAGTCGACTAAAAATTCAGGTGTCACTTTATCTTTGAGATCAACCTCTAACGAGCTCAATCTTAAAGAGGGGCAGTTGTTGACACTTGATTTTTAGCTCTTTTTTTTTTCATATTTTCAAAAATCTCAAAATTAGGACTAGGAATCTTGGCCAAGCCTAGAAACCTATTTCTAAACCAAAAATAAATTTTTTAGCATTTTTTAGCATTTTTCCTTAATTTCTTTTAGTCAAAATAAGTGAGAAAATCAAGAAAAATAAAAAATGGAATCAGAAAAATCCATAAAAAAGTCATTAGTCTTATTTTAAATCCAATTTCATGAATATATCATCAATTTTGAAAAATCTCAATCAGGTATATGTTTTTCCCAAAATTGGGCAAAATTAAACCCGAATTGAACAAAAAATGCAATTAAAATTTTTCTAGTCATTTTTAAGTCATAGTGTCTTCACAACAAATGATTCTAGGACCTTGAATTACATAATAGTCGGTCCAATTGCACAATTTGTCAAAGAAATCAAAAAACCCCAAAATTCAATTGAAAATTAAGAATTTTGAACCAAAATTGGGAATTGTGCCCAATATGAAATTGTCGAACTATGAGACCATCATTTCTAGGGTTAATCAGATGTGAGTAATTCAATTTTGGCATCAATTTTACCTAATCAGGTCATTAGGACATCAAATTGAATAAAACCCTATTAACCCGAATACCAAAATGTGAAAATCTTGAACATGATTATCACAAAAATTGAGGAAAATCACATATTTAGGTTCAAAATGCGATGGGGAATTCAATTTTTGGATTTAATTTGAAAAAATCAGTTGAAATTAAGCTCAATTCGAGTTTTTAATCAAAACCGGGCCTGCCGGATCGACCGGGTCAACCCGACCTGACCCGACGACCCGTCTTCTTCGCCCGACTCGCCATAGAACGTTCAAAACCCAGAAAATTCCATTTCAAGCTCGCGACTTCACCGGCCTTAATCCCACCACAAAAACGTGCAATATACGATTTAATAGCTTGATAATCACCGGCTGTCATCGGTTATTCGGTCTAATCGATTCAAGGTCAGTTCTAACAGAATTTGGGCGGGATTTTTGATCAATAAAAAAACTGAAAAAAACTGAACATTGAAAAAAAAGAGGTGTCCGACGAAAATCCAGAGAGAGAAAGGAGGGAGAAACAGGCGAAACCAAAGAGGAAAAGTTAGAGAGAGAGGGTATGAGGTTCCCACCCAAGTGTCCGGTGCCGCCCTAGACGGCGGAGCACCGGCGAATCGGAGTTTGGCCGAAACCTCCCCTTCACTGTCCCAGTCGGACCGGCTGGTCTTGAAGGACTGAAACCGAGGCTTTTCCGATCAATCCAGAGCTCTTTCGGCGAGGCCAAGACCACCAGGTGGAAGTGCAAGTGTCAAGGAATAACCCTATAGGCATGGATCAGTTCGAAAATTTCTTCTGATCATCGAACGAAGAAGGTAAAAACTGATCACAGTCATGGTTTCACCAAATTTCCAGAAAATGAGTTGTTGTTCAAGATTACCACTTATGCGATTTCCTCGATGATTATGAGTTCTTTGATGTATGAAACAAGTTTTCTAATCATTTTTTTTGTTGATTGATTGCATTTTGGTGTATAAACTTGCATAAACCGAACCGGTCGTCCATGAACCCTCTCGCCAGAGTTCATCCAACCATCGCCGGAGCATTGCCGTGGCCGTACGGCCATTCAAGTTAGCCTCCTTGACTTTGTTTGACATTTTGTTAATCATTAGAAGCGATCTAGACGGCTAGGGCGGGTATGATAATAGTTTGAAATCTGGAAATGTTATTTTAGGTCAGTGTTAGGTTAGGTTGTTCTAATCGGTTTTTCGCCAGCCGGCAAAGGTCCGACGGCAAGGTGATTAAGTTAGTTTGATAGGGGGTGACATGGTCTTCACATTGGATCGACCAAAATGGCAATGAACCCGTCGGAAGGTCGCCGGAAATTGATCCAAACCGGCGGCCTCGAAAACACTAAACTTGAAATTGTGCACACCAGGTGTTCGGGCAAATGCCCCAATGAAAAAAGTCTAAAATGGTGCCGTTTTGGGCACCGTATTCGCCGGAGAAGACAACCGGTGACCGGCGATGCCTGGTTCGGTCAAGCCAAATCGGACCGGTCCGGTTCGCTTCCCGGCGGGAAATTTTTAAAAAATAAAATAAAAAATCTAAAAATCTAAAAAATTCATAAAAATTCATAAAAATGAAAAATTCACAAAAAAATAAAAAATTAGAAAATTCATAAAAATTTTAGAAATTCAAAAAAAATTTCTAAAAATATTAGAAAATTCAAAAATTTTCAGAAAATTCATAAAAATTCAGAAAATACAAATAAAAATGTGAAAAATTTAGAAAATCAATAAAAAATTGAAAATTGGAAAATTCATAAAAATTTTCAGAAAATTATAAAAAATCAATTCTCGGTTAATGAAATTTCCGAAAAAAAAATCAAAATTTTCAAAATTTTTAAAAATTCACATAATAGTCCAAAAACACTGTGGCCAACCTTAGAAAGTGAAATTTGAATTTTTGGAAGTGCGCAAGTGGCATTTTTAGAAAATTTCAAATTCAGGAGTTATAACCCCTAAAAAACCCTAAAACCCAAAAAAATGTAAATCATAAAATGAATAAGCTTTTAGTCCTTCATTACGGTTTGAATGTTTTTGATTGATTTTCATGTTTTAGAGACCATTTAGGATTGATTGATCTGATTGATATTGATTGTACATTTAATACTTGTTTGGTTTTTCCTGCGATTAGAATGGATAGAATTAGTGGATAAGCTTCGAAAATTTGCATGACACGTTAGACATTGTATCGTTCTTAGGTACCGAAAGAGCGTTAGGGATCTCGATTCGGGATCAATAACGTAACCAAGACCCCGTACTCAGAATCTCTAGTTCGTAGAATCGTGGTATTTCTCCCGTACATTGATTAGGTTTCTAGTCTACCTACCAATAATGACTAGTGGCGACTCCAAAATCACAAACTTAGATTAAATAGGAAATTACCTTTCACTGTCATGTGAGGTATGGTCTGGAAGAGACCTTTACACGAAAATATCTCCTTAACGCGCAAATCCCGAAACCCCCTAAAAAAGCGCGGCGCGACAACACCCAAATTATATGCACGGCATTTGCACGACACGTGCACGACACATGGAAATTTCGATTAGACCTTCCACAATCCTTGAAAACATGATCCACTTTGTCCAAATCATATCTAATTCGATCATCTTTGGAATTAAGACAAACTCCCACCGTCTTGAAATTAAGATCAACTCCCTTCAACTTTGTTCTTGAGTTTTACGATTGAGACTGGAACATTTGGTGGAGTATCTAATGGAGCTTTTGCTTCAGAAACGGTATGACCTGTCTCAAAATGTTCTGGGATATGTGCATTGTCCGGAACATTTTCTTCCTGCTACTCCTCATCAACCAATGCAGGAACAGATGTGTGAGGAACTGGATTCAAGTCAACCAAATCATCACTAAACTGTGATACTGAAATTATCACTGTTTCTTAATATCTTGTATTGTCTGATTATTCCATAAACACAACATCTCTACTTCTTACAACTTTCTTCTCAACTGGATCATAGAACTTGTAGCCAGTCCTGCACGTAGCTAATAAATATGCATTGACGTGTTTTCACGTCAAGTTAAAACCTTTCATCTTTGAGAATGTGCATAAATCCCTTGCACCCAAAGACATGCAAATGATCATAGAAAACATCTTTGCTTGTCTAAACTCTAGTGGGAACATCAAACTCTAAAAAAAACACATGAAGTAAAATTTAGTACATGTGCAACTGTACTTAAAGCATCACCCCCAAAAGGATCTCAATAGCTTTGCTTGTGAAAGTATTAACACCTAAATTTTGGCGACCTATTTAGTTATTTATGATCCTGATAAACCAACAAATTGACGGATTCAGTATCTCGGCGGAGGTTTATGTGCTCCCTGCATCTCGTGTCAGTTACGCCGCTGGTGTAAAGATCAAAGGGTACATCGATGCGACCAAAAGTCCCACCGCTACTATCGTGTTCCAAGGAACCGTGTTTGGAAACCCAACCGCTCCAGCTGTTGCCTCTTTCTCTTTGAGAGGCCCGAGCTTGGCTAGCCTAGGAATCCTAAAGACGGACATCATCGGTCCCGGCGTGGACGTGTTGGCAGCATGGCCATTTCCCATCAGAAATGGCACCAAAATGAAGAATTACTTCAAAGTCCTTTCCGGAACTTCCATGTCCTGCCCTCACCTCAGCGGCATCGTGGCTTTAATAAAGGGCGCTCATCCGGACTGGTCTCCAGCAGCGATCAAATCCGCTATCATGACTTCGGCTAAGCAGCTGAACATCAACCGAGAACTGATCCTGGACGAGAGGCTTCAACCTACGGATGTCTTTGCCATCGGAGCAGGCCATGTTGACCCTGCGAAGGCCATTGACCCTGGATTCGTATACGACATTCAGCCCGACGATTACATTCCTTATCTCTGTGGTCTGGGGTACACCGACGAGCAGGTGTCGAGAATTGCTCACAAACCAGTCAAATGCTCGGGAGAATCTAGCATTCCCGAGGGAGAGCTGAACTACCCCTCATTTTCGGTCATCCTCGAACCTCCACAGACATTCACCAGGACCGTGACCCATGTTGGCACTGACTATTTGCCTTACATCGTCACGGTTGTCCCGCACAGGGCGTGTATGTCAATGTGAAGTCTAGCAAACTCAACTTCTCAAAATTGAACCGGAAAGCGACCTATTCAATCACGCTCAGCCGTGCCGATGCCACTCACAACATCGCCAATTTCACCCAAGGATATTTGAGGTGGGATTCCAAGAAATACTCCGTTAAGAGTCCGATTTCGGTTAAGTTCAACTGAGAAGTAGTACTCCGTTACGAGTCCAACTTCGGTTAAGTTCGACTAAGAAGCGGTTGCGAGCATAAATAAAGTGTTAATTAGCTCGTCGGCATGTACTTTTGGTCTTGCCATGATCCCACGATGTCAAAAAAGCTTCGATATTATTGTCTAATATCCGTTTATTTGAGTCTTAGTCTTCAATTGTCATGAAAAATTGATGCCTTCTTCTCGGCAGTACATTCATCGTCTGGCCTCTACCGGCCCTCGTTCATCCTTTCTCACCTTTGATATGCTCTTCGAATTTGGTAAGTGAGAGAATGCAACGATGACTACTGCTGAATCAATCATCTATGCTACCGATATGTGCACTACCTAGCAAAAGTTTGCACTTCGAATTGGCAATTTTAATTTGTCCGTGACCTTCGCGGCAATAGACATGTCTGACATGGTTTTTCTTCTATTCAGAGTCTCAGCATTTTGAAAGGCTCAATCTATTCATAGTTAGAATTCCACTTACAGGTTTAGAAGCTCATCCGACAAGAAGACCATTGCCTCCTTCAAGGGACTTCCAGGTTAGGTAGATGCATCAGAATCACATCTGTGATTCAAGACGTTTTTCTCTCTTTATCTGTCGATGACCTTCGTAGCAATGTCGAACTTTTCGTTTAGACGAATGAAACTTTTACAAAACCAAAACAGAGGCTTCCGAACTATTAAAACCATACTTCAAGTCTGGAGAGAGAGCGAGAGAGACGAGAGTACATGCGGAGTGAGGGTATCTAAAACTCGAACAGCTTAATAATTAATAAATCTCGATGTGCACATTATATGCACGACACATGCACGAAACTTGCACGACACACTCATGACATATGACAATTTTGAATCATTTAGGCTCATTTTGTTTTGCGAAAAACAACTTTCAGGAAAATGTTTTCCGGTGTTCGGCTCATGGAAAATAAACTAGTTAAGGAAAACATTTTTCCTCAATGGAAAAAACACCTCAAAAGTGGGGAAAATGATTTCCCTTCTCTTTCCTCTTTACACTCCTTCACTTTCCTTTTCTTTTTAATTATTTTTTATTTTTCTTTCTTCTTTTCTTTTTTTTTCCTCTACCGTCGCCAGCAAGGGATGAGCTCACCCGTGGCCGGTGAGCCAAGCCTCGCGGGCCTTGGACGAGGCCATCCTGAGCGTATTGGCTTGCACAGAAGCGCCAGTTGCCGTGCTGGCTGTATGAGTGCCATGTCCCATATCGTCGGTCGGTGGCATGGTCACATTAGCCAAGCGATGGAAGGTTCTGGCACCGATCAATTTGTTGTTGCATTGGGAAAGATTGAAGTCGCACATCCCTTTCCATTTGGCCGGCGGAGGAGGCATTCCCCGGACACCCGTATCCATGACAGCAATGATAACTCCCTTTCCTAGAGTTGAGCCATTAAAAGATCCTTCACGCAGTGGTAATCCCAAGAATTGGGGGTTGTGCGTTGTTTGGAGGCAGTATATCTGTTCTGGATGAGCTGCCACGAATCTCGGCTTGTCTTGCATAGCGGTCATTTCATCTGTAGTCAGCCTCGTAGTGAAACCAGTCATTACATTGCGATAACAGTAAAGCATACGCTGCTGTTTCTCCGAGGCAGTAGTGTTTGTCAGCAAGAAAGATCGGTACCATGACTCGAGGTTTTCTGATTTGGAAGAGTCCTGGCCGTCGGGGGGAGTAAGATGGACAATGTATGTCTGTAGGTCGGCACCTGCTAATTGAGTCGTGGTCATGGACACGAGAGAACTAAGGAAAATAGTAAGGCATATTTTTGTGATAAGTTTTAGGATTTCTATAGTATATATCCCTGTACTTTTCTCTCCCTCACATACGAGCAGCAGGTCTCTCTATTTTAAAGCTCAGGCTGCTCGCTCCTAGACTTAGCATAGAACTCTATTTATAGAGCAATGGTGGGTAGTAGGGGTGAGCAAGATAGACCGCCCAAATCGAGACTGGACCGGATCGGACCGAACCGATTGGTTGGGTCCGGTTCTCGGGAATATCAATCCAGTTTCCGGTTCCTAAAAGTGGAACCGGTTTTCGAGCGATCCGATTCTCGGTTCTAGGGTGGGAACCGGACCGATAAATATTATTTTTATAATTTTTTCATATATATAATATTATATATATATGAAAAATATTTAATATTGGTCCCATTAGAACCGAATGTTCAATTTTTTCATATATTATATATATTTTTCCAATTTTTTCCATGACCTTATGGGATCAAATTAGAACTACAAATGAAGTATAATTTATTTTAGTCAAATAATTTGATTAAATACATCATAAAAATTACAATGAATGAAAAAATTATTTAGCTTAATAATTAATAAATCTTGATGTGCGCATTATATGCACGACACATGCACGAAACTTGCACGACACACTCATGACATATGACAATTTTGACTCATTTAGGCTCATTTTGTTTCGCGAAAAACAACTTTCAGGAAAATGTTTTCCGGTGTTCGGTTCATGGAAAATAAACTAGTTAAGGAAAACATTTTTCCTCAATGGAAAAAAACACCTCCAAAGTGGGGAAAATGATTTCCCTTCTCTTTCCTCTTTACACTCCTTCACTTTCCTTTTCTTTTTAATTATTTTTTATTTTTCTTTCTTCTTTTCTTTTTTTTTTCCTCTGCCGTCGCTAGCAAAGGATGAGCTCACCCGTGGCCGATGAGCCAAGCCTCGCCGGCCTTAGACGAGGCCATCCTGAGCGTATTGGCTTGCACAGAAGCGCCAGTTGCCGTGCTGGCTATATGAGTGCCATGTCCCATATCGTCGGTCGGTGGCATGGTCACATTAGCCGAGCGATGGAAGGTTCTGGCACCGATCAGTTTGTTGTTGCATTGGGAAAGATTGAAGTCGCACCTCCCTTTCCATTTGGCGGGCGGAGGAGGCATTCCCCGGACACCCATATCCATGACAGCAATGATAACTCCCTTTCCTAGAGTTGAGCCATTGAAAGATCCTTCACGCAGTGGTAATCCCAAGAACTAGGGGTTGTGCGTTGTTTGGAGGCAGTATATCTGTTCTGGATGAGCTGCCACGAATCCCGGCTTGTCTTGCATTGCGGTCATTTCATCCGTAGTCAGCCTTGTAGTGAAACCAGTCATTACATTGCGAAAACAATAAAGCATACGCTGCTATTTCTCCGAGGCAGTAGTGTTTGTCAGCAAGAAAGATCGGTACCATGACTCGAGGTTTTCTGATTTGGCAGAGTCCTGACCGTCGGGGGGAGTAAGATGGACAATGTATGTCTGTAGGTCGGCACCTGCTAATTGAGTCGTGGTCATGGACAAGAGAGAACTAAGGAAAATGGTAAGGCATATAGTATGAAGGAAAACCATGGTGGTGGTTCGTGTTCTACAACGGGGAGTTGAAGCTAGATACAGAGACAACATATAGCCTGGGAGTTGCATACGGGGCCTGCATTGATGATTATTCCATTGAAGGGGATGGAATCTCCATGGAATCTTGAAAAGAGATTATTCCGATATGATATGAGATAAAGTCACCAAAGTCTCCATCAGCTCTCAGATAAACTCCATTCTCTTGACTGCTCTGTTCAGCTTTGTGCAGGGGTTGCTCTGGCTCGGGTGGGGGGGGGGGGGGGGGAGAGAAAAGAGGAAGGAGGAGAGAAGGGAAATTAGGAAATGAGGAAGGAAGGGACTAGCCATCAATGCTAACCCCCTTGCCGTGTTTCCCTGTCCATCATCTACTTGAAGGCATGAGAGAATTGAGGAAAACAGTAAGGCATATAGTATGAAGGAAAGCCATAGTGGTGGTTAGTGTTATGCAACGGAGAGGTGAAGCTGGACACAGATACAACATATAGCCTGGGAGTTGCATACAAGGCCTGCATTGATGATTATTCAATTGAAGGGGATGGAATTCCCATGGAATCTTGAAAAGAGATTCTCTCGATATGATATGAGGTAAAGTCACCAAAGTCTCCATCGGTTTTCAGATAAACTCCATTCTCTTTACTGCTCTGTTCAGCTCTGTGCAGGGGGCTGCTCTGGCTCGGGAGGGAGAAAAGAGGAAGGAGGAGAGAGGGGAGACCGGGAAATGAGGAAGGAGGGAACTGGCCATCAATGCCAGCCCTCTTGCCGTGTTTCTCTATCCATCTTCTGTTTGAGGGCATGAGAGAACTGAGGAAAATAGTAAGGCATATAGTATGAAGGAAAGCCATGGTGGTGGTTCATGTTCTGCAACGGAGAGGTAAAGCTGGATACAGAGACAACATATAGCCTGGGAGTTGCATACGGGACCAGCATTGATGATTATTCCATTGAAGGGGATGGAATCCCCATGGAATCTTGAAAAGAGATTCTCCTTATATGATATGATGTAAAGTTACCAAAGTCTCCATCGGCTCTCAGATAAACTCTATTCTCTTTACTGCTCTGTTTAGCTTTGTGCAGGGGGCTGCTCTGGCTCGGGGGAGAGAAAAGAGGAAGGAGGAGAGATGGGATACCGGAAAATGAGGAAGGAGGGGACTGGCCATCAATTCCAGCCCCCTTGTCGTGTTTTCCTATCCATCCTCTGCTTGAGAGGACAGGGACGGCCGCTCCATCGTCCGATAGTTGGACGGTCCAGGCATCCTTTTAGCTTCATTTTGCTAAAGCCGTCTAGATAGAAATTGAACTTCACATTCCATGTGTATGTTTATGTGATTGCTATGGTTCTCGGTAAAGTAAGTTTTCTATTCTTGCACTTTGCAATTTACTTATTTTCGTATGTCCTAGTCAGTCCATGATTAGTCTAGGTCATGTGTGGATTTAATACCATGATCGTTTTGGAAGAAATAG